GAGATAACTTTCAACCAGTAATACAAAGCTAAAAATATTATTTATATTTTAAATTGCGTCGCCAAATATTCAACCCGAACCCGACCCGACCCGACAACATCTTAACCCGAACCCGACCCGACCCGACCCTAGGGTTGGGTCGGGTTCGGGTCGGGTTGCAGGTCTCTACTGTTGAGATATTTGGCAAGAAATACAGGTGAAAACGTCGGATCATCTATGCTAATGGTGTAGCGAAGTCTAGTCCGCTCAGTCATAACATATGCATATCCAACATTTCTAAAAAATAACCATTACTGGCATCAAACACAGATCATTCGAAATAAAGGTCTAAGACGTGTCTTACAAGTGTCATGTTACACATAATCAGAATACATTCATCACCAAATACAACATGAAAAGGTCTTCGAACACAGCAAACGTCTAGCACATAATTGCCTTAATAAAGCTATTGTAAATGGAAACATAAGAACAATGTAAATCTACGCAGAGACACTACTAGATAAAGAAATCAATCGTCCATTAACAGTATGTTGCCCGCAAGACACTAATTGAACTAAAATGCTAAACTGAAATCAATCTTTAATCTTGTTTGTAATTATTTTCTTAGGCAGACAAACTTGTTATCAGCCGAGGGCTGGGCGAATTCTTAGATTCGGAAAGAATCCCTTATTCTACTACTCTACTATTCTAAATGAGAAATTAAACGAGTAACATGCGTACTCGTAATGATTAAGTGTAATTAATCTAAAAAAAATTGAGTATCACAGTGTAATTTATGATATTTATGAATAATATCATGAATGTAAACGATACTGGTACTGCCTCTTCCCATTAATGTGCTCTCCATGAATCAAACAAAAGTAACCAACGTGTGCAATAAAATTCAATGATATTTTCATAGCAGGACAGTCACCTGTTACGCCGTAAAATCGAATATCATATTTTGAACCACCACCTTCAATGCCTAAGAGAGTGAGATAAAAGAAACACATATTTCATTACCGTAAATCAGCGTCCGATCGAATTGAGAACAGCAAAATCTTACGAATTTAATTCAAGTGAAGCCGAAATACGTGGAACCAATGCTTACGGCCATTTAGGCCGCAGTGGATTGAACGATTTGTTAGATCTTCCCTTCCCGTATCCATCTGTTCCTGATTAGGAAATTTCCCTCATAGATAAAGCAACTTCAGAAATTTCGATAATGCAAAAATAATAAAATGAGAAAATACCGAAATTACCGCATATTCCAACATACAATACAAATTCATCCATGAACCAAATACAGAAATTTACCAGAAATTACCTAGATTCACTACTTCCTCGAAACCAAATTCCCTAGAAATTTTGGTAATTATCCACTAACGAAAAAGAAAATTTCTCAGTAATTTCTGAAATTGCAAACATTTTCAAAACTAATTACTAAGAATTTACTACCAAAGTAAAAGGTTACGCGATTGCGCAAAATACTCGAAGCAGCAAATTTTGTACAATGCTACAGTAGTGTCAAGCTCGAAATTTGAATTCAAATGTTCAAATATTCAACTATTCAAGTTTTCAAATATGCAATTAGAACCCGTGGCATTTTCACCCTGCTAGGATTTTGCCTTCACCCTCAGCTGCCCTGTGGGGTTTTGCCATCGTCAAGTACTGCGAATAACTGAATATTTGAAATGAATAGTTGAATATTCGAATAGTTGAAAAGTTGAATATTTGAATTCAAATTTCGAGTTTGACATATATGCAATGCTAATGATTTATACATATGTAATTATAACGTTTGTTTGTTTTGTTTTTACCGGGATTTTGTTCTTGTGAAATCGTTGGTTTTTGGAATTCAGTGATTGGTGGTAATTGAACAAATTCTGAATTTTGACTTGTATATATTGGCACAGCTTCTGTATGTACATAATTTTTCTCATTTGTTATCAGCTGATGTTGTACTGATGGTGTGATATTATTTTGAATTAACTCAACATGGGTTGGTGTAGAATAAGATTTTTGGCTTTCAATATCAATATCATTTCCTTGTTGAAGATTGAAATCGACCATGTTAGCTGATGACATGTCCTAGACAAGGATATATTCAGACAATGAAATAAGAAAAGAAAATCAACAACTTACATCAGCTGAATTTTCAGTTGGAAATATGATATTTTTTCTGTTGTAACTCTACAAATATATAGGAGTGAATGAGATAAAGTTGCTGATATTTGATTTTATTCATCGTGGGTGGACAATACGAACCGATGGTAATATCATGATCGTTGATTGGCATTGAAAATGATGCATATGTTCATCTTGTTCGTGTTGACCGGCTTCAAGAGATGCCTCTTGTGAAACCATTGGCATCGTTTTTTTTTCGTCATTCATGACAATGAACGAAAAACGAAGCGCATGTAACGGTTGAATCTTTAAGTTTCTAACTAATATCGAAGTATATACGACGAAAAAAGAAGACAAATGCAAAAGGGAGATAAAATAAACACACGTAAGAAAACATTAAAAGTGTACCTTCACAACATCAAGAATGTGATTATGTATGTCCAGAGAATGCGAAATAAGTAGGTGATAGAAAGATGAACACAGACGGTAAAGAGAAATGGTTAAGATGGTCGGAAATAAAAGAAATAATATAAATGACTATCAAAATTATAAAGAAAATGGAAGAATTGAATATCTTCTTCACATCATTCTTGACGACGAAAGAAAAGCGTCTGATAATAATGAAGAACGAAAGAGAAAAATCTATAGTCAGAGCGAGTATATATATATTATATGACTAATACGATTAAAAGAAAATTTCTACATTTTCATTATCAATCTTTTTTGATTGTAAATCATTTCCCTCCTGGGATAACAACAGTTTTTACCCCATGGTCTAGACCGCGAGGGGAAAATTGATTGTCCAGAAGCTGAACTATGTGAGCCCAGATGACGGGGTGATGTGTCGTTCCCTGTCCCTTTGAGCTGTCTCCCCATGGGCCCCACCTATATGGGTGCCCCGATCGGCAACTCTGGTAGCGACAATTACATACGTCAAGAACTGACAATGTTTTTTTTTCAGATTATCAAAGCGCTTGCTTTTACTTGTGTTCATCAGCGAGGGAGCACACAAAATAATTTAAATACAAACCAGAAGTATTTTAATGTTATTGTTTTGTTTTTGTACTAGTTTTGTCGAAAAACATCTATATGAGCAAATATAACGATGAGAAGAATGTTGATGTCTATAACTACTAAAAAAGAGCAAGAAAAAACTATTCGATTTTCGAGAAAAAATACATCTTAATTTAGCCATGAGTATACAAAAAACAACAACTAAGCTACTTGAAACTGGATAACAATAAAACAAAAATGTTAATTTCTATCTCGATGAGGATGCAAAATGTTCTCATAGTTTTACATGGTTTGGTTAATATCTCTACCAAAAATCTTTTAGGGGGGATAGTCCTCCCCTGATCGGAAAGCCTGTTTTTGTGTATGCTCAAGATCCATAGTCATCAGACTTACTCAATTAATCTAGTGAAAATAAACATTGCCATGATATTTTGAATGGTTGATAACTTATGCTATGATGTATCAGAGCCTGAAACGCACCAGGCTTTACTGATTTTGTTCGGGACAGCTTCGAATCTTAAATCGGTTCGATTCGATTCAACACTTCTGAAATCAAATTCGGTTCGATTCGTTTCGGGCTCTGTCTTGCATTTATGAGATACAAAAATTTTTGAAACGTAATGATTTGAGAAGTTCAAATAATTCTGGCTAAATGTTTCATTCGTGTCCGAAAGGAAATCCCCAATGGAACTTTTTTAATTAATCCGAACTAATTTAAACAAGTCTCAGTCTAAGTTCATTCGAATTAAGTTTTTTAAGATTAAAAATTAATTTGAATTGATAAACTACTTCAAACTGATTAAAATATTCAACTGATTTGCATTAGCTTATCGAGTTAAAACAATTTAAATTAATTTTTAATCTCAAAAAAATTAATTCGAGTGAACTTAGACTGAGACTTTTTTAAATTAGTTCGAATTAATTAAAAAGCTTCCAATGGGTCGTCTTTTACCTCTTGGATGATTAATCGCTTTTTTTTACTGAATTAGAAAGATCAATTCCGATAATTTGCCGACCAATTAAATATCCAAGTTCAAAAATATCATCTGCTAAATGTCCTTCTGTTAACTTTTGGATAAGATAATATTTGATTACTTAAAAGTAAAAAAATTCATATTATATGAGCGCTATATTATAATAAAAATGGACAAAAAGTCTGCCAGCCTTTTTGCTAAACCTTGATCTTTCTATCTAATTCGTTTACCGTTTTATGCAAACTTTATGAAATGATCAAAACCTCGAAAATGGATGTATTTTAATTGAAAAAACAAGTTATATCGTCAAATATATCTTATCCATCTGACTGTTTATAGCTTCACTATCCGCATCTGCATCCTTTTCGTATTTGATGAGTAAAGTGTTTTCCAGGGCTTGAATCGAATTTAAAAAATCTTAATCCCATCCATGTAGGGCCGACAGCCTACAAAAGTAGTGAAAAAAGATTTACCCGTTCTCATATTTTCATGATCAAATGCTCTATCAAGACGATTATACAATGTTCGATTAGTTAATTCGATTTCTTCATTAACATCTCCTTTTTTGATAGATTTGAATGTTTGCCATACTAGTTTACATTTTTTTCTTCTATTTCATTTAAGTGTATTAAATTATCAACAAACATATCATCATCTATAACATCACCATCCTCATAAAGTTCTTGTTCATGTTTCAATGTTCCAAAATTATTATGTGATCATAAATGATGACAAACGCCGGATGAAAAACGAAAACGTTTAATTGATTCTAATAATAAATTTGTGTATGCTCGATCTTTACTATATAATGATAATGAAGGTATATCTGATTGGGCATATAAACCTGTTAATGGAATGATGAGTTTCGATGCACCACTTGAATGTCGGAGCCAAGTTAATAATATTTCATTCATTATTGAACTAATTGTTCATCTACTCGTGCTGGATCAAATACATCATTGGTATCGGTGTTGAAGAACAATCAATATAAACTAACGTTAATTTACAACCATTTTTTACTCAGTGAATTTTATATTCACAATTATTAAAACAAACAATATAATGTAGACTATTTTTGCTATGTTTTGAAAAAGTAAATACATATTTTTCTTTTTTTTAAATAATCCTCACCATCTTCGTACGTTGATGGTAGAACCATAATTAATTCTGCTAATACACCATTGTTCATCTTCTATTTGTATGGTTTTGAGCACAAACCTTTTCCATACAAGACTAATTTTGTTAATTTGTTATTCAATTGATTTTGTTTAATCCATTCATCATTTAAACATAAATCTGCCGATATTTTTGAGTTCCAGTCTTCCATTAATTTTGAATTCCATTCTAGATTATTAATGGAAAAAAACGATGATGACAATTTCCATCTATCAGCAATCTAAAGCAAAAGATAAAGGTAGAGTAGACCAATATTGTATTTCTTCAAGAGTCACCTTCATATCATGGCAACGTTACAATGTGTTTTCGCTGCTAGATTTCATTCTCAGGCGTACTATTAAACCGTTTACGTGCTGTAATTAATCCTTCTTAACGAAATTTGAAATTCTTAATTTTGTACTGAAAACTCAACTGCCTCCAGTGAAAAGAAAAATTATACTAAGAAAGGAGACGTTCAGTCCCAACATTCTACTTTTCCACATACGTATATGAGCTTATGAAAATATGTGATTTTGTGTTTGCACAAAAGCGTTTAATTCGCAAGCAATCTTACGAGGGAACTCCCGCAAGCGTCCAGTCACTTTTTCCGTAAAACATACAGGAGTGAGAGTAGTTTTTGATGTTGATTACGTATCTGACATAGTGTGTTCGATTCTGACGAAGTGCAAGGATTAATTTTGTGTTTTAATAATTTAAGCTTTAGAGTGATATAATGAGAAATCATATTCTCGATTTTGTTCTGGTTTAAGATTAAAGCTTAAACGAATCTGTTATCCGTTTCTGCTGCTAGCACTTTCTGAGGTAGACCTCTGAAATACGGGTGTCCGCAGACCCGCTACGAACTTCCAGCTGTACGTATTTTGGCACTGCTAGATTGTAGAATACGCTGAATTATCTTTGTGGGAAAATGTTCAGAACCAACGAACAAGTTTTTGCAGAGACAGAAAAAGTTTTGAATTCTAAAATCTAAATATTTTGGTTCCCTACTGGATTTCTATCTCTACTAAGCTTGTTCGTTGGTTCTGAAAATTTTCCCACATAGGTAATTCAACGTGCTCTACCATCTGGCCATGCCAAAATATGTTCAACTGGAAGTTCGTAGCGGGTCTTCAGACGCCAGTATTTCAAAGACCAACCCCAGAACTATCTAACAGCCGAAACGGATATCAGATTCGTGATCAGCAACAAAGATTACCCACAATCGCGTGTGTTTTAAAGAGAAAGCGATTTGGCACTTGGAGAGGTTCCCTAGTCAGTCATACAGGAAACTAAAGTTTCCCAGCTATTTGTAAGATTAAAGTCAAGTGTGCCTCACTCCTCCGCGAGTATCGATGTTAGCTCCCATAATCAGAGCTGTAATCGGTAACGGCGAACGGATAAGCAGTTCCGATAAGACTTCAGAACGGCTGCTCTAAACGAAGGTTTGAACTAGTGTAGTTTTGAACTTTCCCTTGAGTAAAATTAAAAAAAGTCTTTCAGTGTGAAAAAATGGAGAATTTAAAATAGTAATGTAGGTTTGTTCTTCCATTAGTGACCATTTAGTTGACGTATTCGTCATCAGTTTTATTATTAGGAATACCAGATGATGCTTTAATACGAACGAATCAGTTCGAAGAGTACTGAGAACATAATCATGAATAGCTTTAACTATTCATGATATTCATGTGTTTTTCAACTCACTGAAGTCTCTGAAAAGTAATGTTTAGCAAAGAGAAGAGAAGAAAATTAGTCTAACAGTAACTCATATTGTATTTGATTTGTTTATCGTTTTTGGCAGTGATAGTTCAAAGTGTCTGGTAGTAGATAGTTCAAAGTGTCTCAGAAATGCGAGTCGAGCGAAACTTTGACTTTTATTGGTTCAGGTGCGGTTATTGGATTTCCTTGAAGCCTGAGGACTGATGCAGGGTGACTTGAGGTAGCCTTAAGATGTCATGCAACATACATGATCAATCACCCCGAACCTCGTGGCAATGCTTTGTTTTTGAAAAGAATTTAAAAGCCCGATATAAACCGAGTTTTACGAAAACTATTTTTTTTCAGGTTGGTTTCGCCTAATATTGAAAAATTTATAGTTTATCCAGAAAACATCAGAACGAGTTGAGAGTTTCGGGATGTATTTACCGATATATCATATTCATAAAAAAAGTAGACGAATATCTACTTTTTCCGAGGATCTTCTAGAAAAAAATCGATGGAAATCAAGATTTTTCATTTTTTCGAATCATATCACTTTTCTCAGACCACATTAGGTACATCCTGAAGTTCTCAACTGGTTCTGCTGGTGATTCCAGTTTTCGGATCATCTTCCATTTTCTAGCATTCTCATCTTTGTACTGCGTTATGAGTGGATCTAAGCAGATCTGAAATAAAAAAAAATGTTCATATGCGGTCGTCACGTGACTGATATTCTGTTTGAAACATTCCATTTGGAAATATGTGTTCTCTAGAGAAAGCGTTTATAAACCATCATGCTTTACAAAAACGAGCAAGCGAATACATCCGCAATAGCAAATCTAAAAAGATGAATTCTTTTCCTCTACACAATATACTGAGAGTGCGTCAGTTAGATTAGATCGTTTAGAGAGATTAAATAAATGACAATAATATACCAGACAAATCTAACAACATAAGAGAGAGGGTGTAAAAGAAAATCTCAGAAGAAACATTCCGTGAAACCTTCTACTTTGGAAAATGTGGATCAGTGAGGTAAGTAGAGTTGACTCAGCATTAATGAACGTAACTTGTATTTATTTAATAATGAAAACTGTTATAACTAATGACAGCGAATCTTTTACAATGAAAATGGATTATATTATCTACGGTCGATTATAACATTAATTCATTTATTACCATTCCTCTTGTTCATCAACAAAGAGATTTATTAATATTCATGTTAATCATACCCTAATTTATTCCAAAAATCACATATCGCACCTCGATAATTTGATGCTGTAATTGATTTTGGCAATGTTAAAAGAATATTTTGTTTTGTAATATTCTGGAATACCGGCCATTTTTCGTCTCCTACCGATAATTCAGAATTTGGATTACCAGTTTTAGCAAAATTTGTAAAATATCTCCCAATTAATTGACTCAGACCTTCTTCTTCTTCAGTCAGTTTATACGGTAAAACAAAATCAGAATTAAATACTAGAGGCAGTTCTGATCCATGACAAACTTTTGTATAACACTGTGGTTTAAAACTTGAATTACCGTATGCTAGTACTTCTGTATTGTAGTTTGAAAGATAATTAAACACATATAAATATAAATTTGAATTGTGTAAACTTAATGACTGAGCAATATAGCGTGCTGCACAAGTAAATACGCTATCAGCTAAGATTTGGCTCAATACATCATGATAATCAGCTAATGCAAAATTGATTTTATATTGTAGATTAATTGGAATTACATTTTCTACGTTCCATAAAGCGCCAATATACGCTAGTAAATCAGTATATTTAATTGTTTGTCTTTGAGCGTCATAAATAAACAATGTACCTTCATCATAAGTTGTACCCAATAAAATTGGTATGTTGATTGGATTGCTGTTTTGGACAAAAAATTCTGGGTGATTATTAGTCAGTAGAAATGTGGGTAAATTTAACGTGGGTTCCCATGGCTGACCAATGGCTAACAGCTTATTCGTTTCTAATACTACATTAGAATCCTGAGCCAAATTTTGTGCTTTTAATATTTCAGCAGGAGTTTTCGTTTGTAAACATAAAGTAACATCAAATAGACATCCAGCGAAAGCAGCAAACGCATTATTAAACGATGCTGCACTTTCCGTACTTCGTAATGGAATCCCAATTGGAAATGATTCCATAATAACTTTATGAAATAATGGTGGTTGGGGCACTTTATTAACAACTAAATTTTGCAAATGACAAGAAATCGATGTTGCTCCCGCAGATTGTCCGAACAGGACCACATTACTTGGATTACCTCCAAATGAATTAATATTATATTGAACCCATTTCATAGCTAATTGTTGATCTAACAAACCAACATTACCAGGTAAACCGTTATTCCAATAGAATCCAAATGCACCTAACCGATAGTTTATTGTAACGACAATCACATTTGTTAAATTAACTAAATGCGAGGCATCATATGCTGGAACGGCTGAGGCACCACTAAGAAAGTTACCGCCGTGTATAAATATCATTACAGTTAATGCTTGGCCAGATTTTCTTCTCGGTCGATAAATATTAAGTGATAAGCAATCTTCACTCATTGTTTTGGGACATGCACCCGTTGGTAGAGTACACTCTTGAATACAACCATCTCCTGGTTCAATTGCCTGAAATACTGTATTGTTCTGCTTGTTTTCGTTTTTATATGCTTGTGGAACTTGAAATCTTAAAGCTCCTGTGGGAGCTTTAGCATATGGTATGCCCAAAAAGACTTCTGCATATTCATTAGAAAACCCCTGTATGTATCCATTAGTTGTCGTATTAATTATTTCTGTTTGTTGTATAGAATTAACTGTGGATGAAACAAATAATAATATTAAAAATTTTAGTTGTTCCACCATGCTTTTAACAGAATTCACTTTGTGTAAACCTCCAACACAAAACCTGAATTTATTTATGGAGGAAAATAATTGATTATTAAATATCATGCCAAATGGGCCATATGCAATTGTAAAGAAATCTTTTATTTGTAACAAATTAATTTTCGATTTTTTAAAACAGAACACTAACGCCACATCACAGATGTTTCCCATTTCAAACAGTCTATATCAAAAATGAGTGCTTAATCAGACTCACTACAGATAAAAGTTTCAGTTTTTAGAACGGAAGAAAATGTAACCGGGTATTCTGAAGATTCTAAATACTCTGTAGCATCTCACTAGACCGGTACGTCAACGTCGTTCATGTTCGTAATATGCATTTATTTTCTCGTTAACCACTCTACTTTATATACCATTCGATAAAGGATTTCATGGGCTACGAAATAAGCTATAAGAGATTATTTTAAAAGTTTGCCTTCGTAAAGATATTGGGCAAATACTGGATACGTATATCGATTTTTTTCTATAGTGACACATAAAAGTGCTTGCACCACCTTCTGCAGGTAGAGGCTAAGCGTAGTTTGTATATGGGAAGATGCAGATTGAAAGGACTACAGAATAAGGTATAACGTGTTCTTTTAAATTACAAGTTTGGTAAACTTGTAGAGAAAAGATGAAAGAGCGTTGTCACACAAGAATATCCCAGTTTCTTGTCGTTTATAAGTTTAGAATAACGCATTCTTTGACAACACGTTTGCTAACAATCGTTAAATTAACCGTTCCTGGCGTTTTTGTTGAATGTGTTTTCTAAAATGGTCGTTGAAACGCGTTTAGAAAAAGAAAAGAAAAGTTCGAAGTTATATCATTACCTCTGAATCTTTTCATTGTTTTTATTTTTGAATCCTTTCAAAATGCATTAGTTAACGTTTTCATTGTCGTTCACATTCATCAAAAAACGCGTTCTCTAACGCGTGGTCCAACGAATAGATTAAAACGCGTTTAAACGACAAAAAGAAAGCGTTGGTTTTGAAGCCTTTAAAGGCGTTTTTTGTCAGCTTTTTTCCTCCTGGGATGAGACTATCCGATGGTCTGATCCTCTGTGCGTTTTCGACGATACGCCTTATACAGCAGATATTAAAAATATGAATGTGAATATTCTATTCTCGATAGGCAGAATGTTTGAATATTTTAAAAATCCAAATATTTTGCATATCAGGAATTGACATCAACGGACCGGAAGCTCACTCTGCTTCCAACGATCAGTAAGATAAGTTTCACCTTTGTTTGGATATTTGTCCTTAATACAGTTCGTTTTAGTTGACTACAAACGAAAACAGAAATAACTAAGTTAATCGTATCGTAAGAAATTATTTGTTATTAACATTATATCTTAAGACGTATATTCATCTGAGCAAAAATGAATATAGAAACTTACGCGCTTACTGTTGCTTTAAATCTCCTGAACAGTTTATTTGACACCTATAGAAGCTGCATTTAACTTGAGAAACGTACTCAAACTTTAGAAGCATAAAAGGTGAAAGAAAAATATTTCTGCTACTAAAGGTATGACGAAAAACTTACTAAAAACTCATTTTTGATACCGATTGTTTCAAATGAGAAACATGTGTGATGTGGCATTGGTGTTGTTTTTTAAAGAATTGAAATTTAATTTGTTAGAATCAAATAACTACTTTACAATTGTGTGTCTACCATTTAGCATGATATTTAATAACGTATATTATAAGTCTTACAGCCGTGATCATATTCTCCCCTTTTATTGGCTTAGAAAGATGTTTATTCCGTGTCCTTCCTTATATACAACAACTGTTGGGCAAGATTAGTAATAGATCATTATTTTTTTGATTGTGCCCACGTAAATATGTCAAACAGATTGATGTTGGAAACGGAGTGTTCGATGAGGACATTCTGAAAATAATGAATAAACATATACCAAATTTTACAGAAAAGCGTACGATGTGTCGTGGTGTCTCCTTTCATACAATAGGTAGTGTCATGTTATTCGTCCCAGACATTTTCTACGGTAAAGATAATGACTTGAAGGTCCTTCAGATGATCGGTGAGGCTTATGGTGGATAACCACACTCAGTTAACGATGTACGTTGAAAACAAAGGGTTAGCCTTATAATATACGTTATTTAACTTTATTTAATATATTAAGTTTGCTTGTAATTCGTAATGAATAATATTATACTATAGGTATAATATAATATAAGCCAGACGTTTTAATTTATTAGCTAAATTTTCTTCAGTGGCAAAAACAAAAAACAAAAATAAATTTAGATCAAATTAGATCAATACATTTTAAACATTAAACATACATTATCACAACATTGTCTCCTATAGTATCCAATGCAGGTTCGTCGCAGCATGCTTCAAGTGTTGCTATTTGTAACCAGGACGAAGTGGAGGCTCAAATGATAGAGGAAGGTGAAAAAGACCTAGACAATAATGTCACTGAGAATCATAATAGTCCTGCGGATATGCCGGACGGTGCAGACGATCCTCACGACGGCATTGTCAATGAAACAAACATAAATCCAACCACGCTTGATAGTAATCAATGCGGCAGTGGATTGGTAACAAGTACTCCTAGACCTCAGCTTGCTGCGTCTACATCAATTCTGGACCACCCTTTTGTTGGGGATGCATACCAGTTGTATAAGGGAAATCAGGCTACAATGAAAAGGTATTTAAACAGTAGTGGCTCTGATGATAAAACACCATCAGTGGCTCAAAGTGAACATGAATCCAAAAAGCAACACATGCATCGATCATCATCCTCGTCCAATGTGGAGGATGATGAACGGTTTTAGTTTGGAAATAAGTTTCGCAAATGCTCCTCGTTTACTCATACAACATACAAGGTATATGTTCTCACCGGAAGAGAATGAAGTTTAGGGCTTGGGTTATTAATACTCTCCCTGATGTTATTCTTCTTCAGGAATTACATATGACCAAATCAGAGCAATTGGAATCTTTTAAAAGCATATTTAATGAGTATAACGTTACGTGCAGCCTTGGAACATGGCCGGCGGGTGGTGTCCTGGCAATGTCAAAAAAGACAC